AAAAAACAGCACTATTCAGGATGACTTCCACACGAACAAATCTCGGGGTTTCATCTGCATCCCTAAACATAAGACTAAAATATTATAGCGCAACATTTACTGAACACATGAAAAACAAACATTTCCATTTAGAAGTCTGCAAAAAATCCTTATTCAGCGCCGACCTTACCTCATTGTGATGTGAAACGATCCTATGCGATCTATTCGAAATGGACAACTCCAGTGGCGAACATCGCTCCGACGTACACACATCTGTCGACAATCCTCGTAATTTTCGTTCCATACTAAGCTACATTGAGAGGCAATGTGAACATGTTCGGATACGCGCTAAACAAAAAAATTGTAAATGCTTGGTAACAAAAAGTTTTGAGAAAATGAACCTGAATCATCTAAAAGGCAATATGATGATTGAGAGTTTTGATGTAATATGAATGAGAGTCGATCAATATAAAGTGAATAAAGACGAAAAATGAAGGAAACCCGGAAAACCTGTAACCCCTAATGACCATAAAAAAATAAGCAAAATATCAGTTAACCGTGAATTAAAATATCCAGCAACAGTATCTTTGACCTTCTAAAATATGATAGAAAGTAATGTGAGATATGAAGTAAAAGAATAGAGTATAGTGGAAAATAGTAAGATCTATAAAAAGTTTGAGAGAGTAAAGATAGTGCACCTTCAAACGCTAACGATAAAGTTGAAATTTTGGAGAAAAAACTCAAACTTGAATTAAAATGCACTGAGCTCCACTCACATCAATAAGATCATGATGGCACACGGATATTGTGTAGGATGACTGATTACTGATCACATAACGCGATGTAAGCAGCACCACTTGTGTATCTTTGTATCGTCCAGTTCCAGCTCGAACTTCTACCCCAATATTATAATACCTTCAAGCAAATATCATGACTTAAGACAACATTAATTTAAGGTTCTCGTAGAGAAAATAACTTACAATGTAGGTAAGCTCTCATGCACTACGCTTAGTTTCAATGCTTGCACGCCTGGAGTGAGAGCGAACTTGTGACTGTAGCGTGGCCGATAATTTGGTTCCTTGGCTAGCCCATGACCCACTCGAACTACGCATCTCAAATCGAAAGCAGTTAAAGAACTGCAGTAAAAATGCAGATGCATGAGTTTCCACAATGGAAAACTTACTGCTTCGGACAGCCATCATCAGCAAAGCTGAACATCAACGGATGTCGATCTTTGGCTTGTTCGTGTTCAGACATTTGCCCGGCTGCCTCACTCTCGGCAGCTTCCTGTTTCAGAATCAAAGGGATACCTAAAGCAAAAAATTCGAAGAAAAAAAAACAGCAACTCTGCAGTGCCAAAAAGATTAATCTAACCCGCTTACCGGATTTGTTCACAATCCAGTAGGGCACCCAAAGTGATAACGATATAGATCCGCCTACACCAAGTCGTACATTTCCATACATATCTAAGGGCCGCCCATTTGCATCACGTAGTCTTAAATATAACCAATATCGTTGGCA